GAGGGCATCCGACATCCACCATCTTTCTCTGCCCACCCCCGCCCCGGACATGTCCGTAGTTTTTTTGTTTTTATCTTCTACAGTTTTTTAAATTAATAATCATAAATGTTTTATTTGGTCGATTCTCATGGTAGCCTCCAACAATTAGATACAATTTTCCCCTTTGAACAGGAGAAGGGCAAGAGTACAGGATTCATTTCAGCATTTCTTAACCAGTTTACAAAAGACTTTCAAAATGTATCAAGATTCAGAAAAACTGCCACATTGTACAGGGCTCTCTTTGGGACAAACTAATCCTCTTTTTGGCGAGGAACAAAGTTTAAATGTGACTGCGCTGCACAGTACCTCCCATAACCACTTGCCGGAATTTGTATTCTCTCCTTAATCAGATGCTATACCCGATTAGAAGAAGCCATTTAAGAATGACAAAGAAAATCTAACCGTGGACTGATCATTTCTATTTTAATAATCCAGATCCAAGCTACATAACTAAGAAATAGATAAGCTTATAGAATTTCCTTTAATGTTTGAGCTGCTGGGATGCTGTCAGAATATAAAGCCACAAAGTAATAAAGATTTAGGCACAAATAAAATTGCTTCAGCCTCGCAAGGGAAGAGAGGAAAGTGGCAAATCCCAGGGACTCCGAGGAGCCTTTTCCTCTCTCGGCCAGAGGAAGGAATTGCCCGCATGTCCCTGGAGCCTGTCCAGGGTGTGGAGCCCAGAACTGCTGTCCCCATGCTCTGGCTCAGCGCCGAGAAAGCAGGCAACCAAAACAGGCCAGAGGAAGGCTCCCGAAGAGAAGGCGTGCGCGGTGGGGGCAAGAGACATGAAGACCTCTGCCCAAAGCCCGGGCAGCTGCGGGTGCTTTTCCTGCAGGCTCTTGCAGCATCGACAGGGTTGGTTTTTAACACCAAATCCTCAGCCCCTTAGCCAGCCTCAGGGTTCCGAGAGTGCGTAGCCCTTCCCCAGGGAGTATTGACTCACAGTTTGGGGACAAGTATTTGAGATACACGGTGAGAATTCCAAAGTCCTTCAAGCCACGAGGCAGTGCTGAGACTCAGCGGCCTCTTTGGAGATCTCCAAGAACAACAACAACAAAAAAAATGCCCAGGGATAAATAACCATGGACCAATGTCCTCTCTCGAAGAACAGGTGAGAGGCAGACTGGATCACTAGACGAATTTGCGTGTCAGGAACAATCTGAGAAGAATTCAAATTCCACTCGCTGCACGCATGTCCTTTATGAGAAAAGCCACCCCTGCACCATGCCAAAGCCTTCACAAATTCAAGCACAGTTGAATTCTGAAACCCAGGACGGTGAGAGGTTGATTTTTTTAAAGAGAGAAATTTCACATGTATCCTTTGAATAACCTTTCAAGTTTCTTATATTGGTCAAAGAAGATTATGTATTTTTTAAAGTAGCCCAGAAATCCCCTTGAATGAAAAAAAAAAATTAATTTTTCCCCAGAAGGGGAGAACGGCGACTGCAGCCTGTATTCAGTGCACTGACTTTCGGTGTCATTTGATGGAGTTTTTCACCCATTTAAATTTTAAAATTCTAAGATTAAGTAGGAATGAAAATTGTGAAACTCAAAGCTTCATATTTAAAAGTAGTGTGTCCCCTTCCTCGTGAAATGATTTGATATTAAAAAAAAAAATGAAAGAGCTCTAAGAAGAAAGCATCCAGAAGCTGACAGCCATGGTAAACGTGACATATTTCTTTGTCTTAAAGAATGTTGTCGGGGGGGCAATGATGTTCATTTTCAGAAAAAGCTCAGTCTAAATGCATGTGGCCTGTGCTCAATCCAACTTTTCTCAGGCAATTTCTCTGCCTTTTGTTGAGAACGTGGCCATTAATTCGTCTCAGAGCTCCGTTTACCTACGAGGAGCCGCCTCTTTGTGTCTGGAAAGTGATAAAAGGGGACCCTATAGGCAGGGTCACGCTAAATACAGTTATAACTCTGAGGACCTGTTTTTGGTGGCGTTCACCCATGTTCAATAAATGCATTGTTGTTGCAAAGAGGACCTGGAGTGTTGAAACAAGGACTTAACTTCAGATCAAGCCTGTTTGGCATCATTATTTTTTAAAGCCGTTTAGAGCAGACATTTATTGGCGCTCATAAACTCAGCTGTTGTTAAGAGGGTCCCCACCCTCAGATCCTTAAACCAAAGAGAAAATTCCAGCCTTGCCCCTGGACTCAGACAGGATTTAAATAGTGCAGAAAGGTAACTGTTTGGAAGGGGACAGACACTTAGATGCTGTCACTTAAGCAAACACTCCATTCCTTTTCCTTTCCTGCGGCCAGTCGCCCTCCCCTAAGGCCGCCATTGGGGACTAAAGGGTATCAGACACTGGAGGGCTTCATTTTCCTTGAACAAGCCTCAGCCCTTCTTGTGAAAGCTCTTGGCCTCAGCCTGCCCACGATGCTAACCTGGCCGGCGGGTCTGAACATGATTGACTGAGGGTCATTCACTGGAAGGAGGATTACAGACCCGCTGCAGGAATTTTTAAGGGACTGCAATAATTTATTATAGGCCCTGCACGCAAGGGGCCCGAGGCAGTACAGTAAATGCGCAACTTGTAATGCCCTGGAAGTCAGGAGGTGGCCCAGGCCTCAGTCCTGCAGACGCCTGGTTCCCACCGAGGCCGGCCTTTGTCCCGGGAAGTCGCCTGACCCCATCGCCCAGGACCCCGGGCTTTGTCGTGCTCGCCTCGCTGATAAAGCCTTTTGTACCGGTGGGAGCAGGTCTCAAGACCATGGGTGGCTTTTGCGCGCATCTCTGTGCTCTTTGCAAAGACGCAGCAGCTGAGTTTGGAAAAGTTTGCGCTGAGTCCTGTTCACCTCCGTCCCCCGCTCCAGGCGGAAGCAGGTTAGGGACACCCCCCTAGGCCCTGCCCCACACCCTGCGTGCGATTAATTCCTTCTTTGGCTCAAAGTCTCTCAGGCCATGCAGCTGCCCTGTGTCCTCTGTGCGCGGACCCGGCGGCCGTTCTGTGGGTCTCAGGCCTGGGAGGGGGCACCTGCCCGCTGTGGCTCAAGGGGTGATGTCCGCACCAGCCCTAGGAGGGTCACCCGCGAGGCCGGACCCCCTCCAGAGCCGGGGTGTGGGGACCTGGGAGGCCCGGCGGCCCTCTGAGGGGGTCGGAGGAGGGAAGTCGGGTGGCCCTCGCAGCTGGAGCTGGGGTGGGGACAGGTGTCAGGTGGCTGGAGCCCCGCAGCCAGGTGGGCGGAGGATGTGCTGCCTGCCCAGGGCCAGCTCAGAGCGCGCAGGGACAGGGCCCACGTGCCCTCCAGTGGGGACCCACGGGCAGCCTCCCTGCGCCCGACCCTCCCCTCACGTCCACCTGCACGCCCATGATCCAGTTCCTATTCTCCATTTTTAAGTCTCTTCATTGTTTTAGAGACTTACCTGAGAGTAATTGCCAAATGAACAGCCTCTCCTAACCACATGGTAAAGGGACTTTACACATCAGTAAGATACATACGTGCACCTGTGTGTCTTCTACGGGTGCAGTTCTGAGTCTGGGTGTCCTGGAGGCATAGCCTGTTGTGGGCACCATGCAGAAGGGAAAGCAGCCCTGTGCTCAGCTCATCTCTGGGGGGCCCAACCATGTCCAGCAGCAGACCCGAGCAAGGGCCACCGCAAGGACAGCCGAGTCCCCTCCCCTCAGTCCCTGGAAACCCTTGCCTCCTGAGTGCAGACCACCTGGGTTTTCTTGGAGAACATTCCTCCCTTCGCTTGCTCCCTCCTCTTCAGCCCCCTCTCCAGGAGGAGGAGGATGCTGAAGGACCTCCCAGGGGTCAGCCTGGGGGAGCCTCAGCCCTGGGTCTCCCAGGGCATGTGGATTTCTCTTGGGTCTCTCGCAGCCTCTCAGCCAGTCCCCTGGCTAGGCCTGCAGGCTCCTGGAGGCCCTGAGGTTACTGTTATCAAATTAGAGCTCCAGACACCCACGTGCAGGGGTGGGCAGTGGATCTCCCTGAGAGAAATGCTCCCACTGTCAGACATTTCCAGGCTTAAGGTGCAAGAGTCCTGGGGTCCGCTGTGCTTATGTGGGGAACGGGAACCCCTACTAAGAGGACCTGTGTTGCTGCTGTCTGTAGAGGATAGGGGGCTACAGAGCAGGGTCTGACAAAGTCAAAGAGGGGCCCTGTCCTCCCCCAAAGTCGCTCAGGCCTGTGGTGCCCATTCCCTGGCCTCTATCCCAGATGGCCTGGCCACTCCTTTCTGAATTGCTAAAGTTTTCTTCACCTTGGCCACCACTTCAACACCCCCAAGACAACTTTCTTTTTCCAGGAGACACGTTGGCACCTATAGCTGACGTGGTTCAGGACAGTGCTACTCAAAGCTCGACATTCCAAATAAAGTCCCCTCCACCCCAGGGCTGCAGAATCTACCCTGAGTCCTGTCCCCTCCTCAGGAGTGTCCCTCATCTCAGACCCCAGGCCAGCAGTTGGGCACCAAGCTTGCAGCAGGCACACACTCCCCTTACCCCGTTTGCTCACAGCTTCTGCAGCCTGGTGTCCCGACCCATGGGGCCGGTGCCAGTTAATGGACATGTTCATAAGCAACCAAATTCACCCCACACCCATAGCCCCAGTGGCCAAGGGTATCTCACCTACATACACTTTCATGAAAGAAACTTAAGAGCCGACCCAGGCCCACTCCTGATGAAAGTCTCTCTCGCTCTTTCCCTGGGACGCTGCCTGGTTGGGAACCTGGATGCTGACCCTCACGTGTGTAGTTTTGTACCGCCTTTATCAATATCCCCAAACTGGGTAAAACAAATTAAACAGGGACTCAGTTCCTTTTGAGCATATTCTGCAGAACTTCCAGAGGGGACCCTCTTAGTGGCAATTAGCAGAAGGGTCGAGTGGGCCGCGGGCCAGCCTCCCCGTGAGCTGTGCCACAGTGTGCAGGGCTGAGTGCACACAGAGTGGCTTTCCAGACAACAGCAAGCACCCCCACTTACCCTTTCTCTCTGGTCTCTCCACCCTAGATTTATTATAAAGTCATTAAGGACATAGAGCCGGGCGAGGAGCTGTTGGTGCACGTGAAGGAAGGAGCCTACAATCTGAGCGCGGTGCCGCCTGGTCTGGATGGTAAGACACCCCTGGGCTGCTGACCCCGGGAGCCCCCACCCCACCCAGAAGAGGGGCACCCTGGCCTCGCCTCACTTCCTGCCACATAACGAGGCCCAGGCATCCCCCGCTGGTGGCTACGGCCCTGTGTTTGCAGGTCTCAGGCCAGCAGAAACTGCACCCGCCTACCGACTCCTTGACCTAAGGCTTCCTGTGTTCTTCCCCGGGTGTAGGAACCACATCCCGAATTTAAGATAGGGCTTCAGATAATGCGGGAGAATTGTCCTCATGCTGAATTAGATCTCTGCAGGGCTCGAGTCCTGAGTCATTTTTAAAAAACTGTTATTGTTATTATCAGCAAGAGCAGCATTGTCGTCAAAGAAACCAGTCGTGGGCCTGGGGCTTTCTGTCGTGGGGGTGATCGCACACGTATCTGTCAAAGTGATGCTATCATTAGTTAAAAGTCCAAGAAACGTGAGGGGAAATTTTATTTGGTGAGAAGGAAAATGTAGGACTTGGGGCAGGTCTTCCAGTGTCCTACAGCCGTCCCGCGCAGGGCTGCAGAAATCCTGACTTCCCTTCCTCTCGATTTCCGACCCGGTATCCGTCGAGGAGGAATTGCGGCCAGTAGGTTTCCCTTCTCCATCAGCCACACACGAGAGGGCCCTCGAGGAAACGCCTGTCTCACACGGACGAGATTTTCTGAAACAGATTTATTTTCCTTCCTCCGTGTTGTTAAGCAACGCGTCCCTGCCCTCTGGGGTCCTGCAGTGGTTGGTTCGAGGTGGCTGCATTGGCAAGGGAGGACTGGTCCCCAGCTCCACGGGGTCCTTGCTGAGCACGGCTCCAGGTTCCACAGCTACTTCTGTCCTTTGGAGGAGACCCCACACGTGAACAGGGAAGCAGTGTCCCTTTCTAGCCATTCCAGAGCTGAGTCCTCATGCTGAGAAAGGACGGAGGCTGGACTTTTCCTTCCGGCTCCCTTTCCCCTCCCCTACAGACACACCAAGGCTTAGTGACTAATGTCACCAGCTGCAGGTTTCTCTAAGGAGCCACTCTAATGTCTCAGTGAAGACGTGGCACTGGCTCGGCCAGGGAGCTGGGCACTGGAATTAGCAGGAGGGTGGCTCCAAGACCAGACCTGGGGAACTCTGCCTTAATTTACCCTTCAGGTCACCGAGCTTGGCCCAGCAATTAAGTCCTTCCTTTCTACAGCAGCAGTTTATGCCCCTGAGTTGCCTGAAAGGAAGTTACCACCAAAGGACAATCTTATGAGCCGGGTCCTATCTGTTTTCTCCTCTAAAGGGCGGTTTTAATGAGGCCATGGAGAAAGGAAAAATAAATTGCCGAGATCTGGATAGCAGGGGAAGGTCTCGTTTTCCTTAAAATAATTATTGAAAAGACGTATGAATCTTAGATACCGCCCGAGAACTCCAAAAGATAAATCCACTTAACTGAAGGAGGGTGCTCGACTGTGGAATGTCATTTGTATAATGAAATTTCTTTCTTCCAAAAGGCTTTTTAAAAACCTCAATTCCTGTTCCCCACCCTCCTACCACCCCCGACATTAAATAACCTGGGTCTGCGTTTTCCTAATAATCTATCGAACATTTGTGGGCTAATTGCTTTCCACACATAATGGTCCAACGTCAAATATTTGACTTTTCCTACTCTCTTCTGTCAAGATCACTTCTTAGTCTCCCAACAGCCACCCCCCCAGTTAAACTCTGAATCACACTGAAAGAAAATGCAAAAATGTTCCTCACTACGATAATTATCATAAAAAATCTTTTATCCCAACCCCGGCTAAATGCAGCCGGCCCCTTATCACTGCAGGAATTTGGAGTAGGCTCTCGAGCTCTTTTGAGCCCGAGTCTGGTAGATTAGCATGTAGATGCCACGTAATTGCTAACCCCTTGGTTCTCCGAGGCCATTAGGCACCGATTTATTTTTCTGTTACATTCCTGCTCTGCCGTGAAAGTTGCCGATGGAACTTGAGATAGACAAGCAAGGCGCAGATTTGACCAGCAAGACGCCAGGCTGCCACGGCGTTGGCTCAGTTGGTGCAGGTGGAAGGGACGCCTCGCCCCCCAGCCTGTGTCCCCGCGCCAGAGTGAGATGAGGGGCTTTGGTTTCCACTCACTATGTTCTGTGCCTTGGTTGCGGGAAAGGGGACTTTGCCGGGGACCCTGTGCGGGGAGCAAGGAAGGAGGCAGGCCCTGGTTTGCCAGCAGGGCAGGGGGCGCCGAGCATCTGCCCTGCAGCTCGGGCTGGGCGCGCTGCTTCACCGAGGCGAGGTGGCTTTGTAAAGAAATGCGGTTCCAGCCGCCACACAAGTGGTTCAAACCAGAGGGAAGCCACTTTCAAATTCATTAGCTCCAGCAACTTTTTATTTCTCCTTGTGTGGGAACTTGCTGCTCGGGAGAAAATAAAGAAAATCATTTTCATTCAAATGTGCTTTTCTTTTTAGAAAGGCTCATGACAATCTACTTTTCCCCTCTCCAGAAAAGGTCAAGGAGATGCCGTGTATCGCGAACAGAGCACGAGACAGAAGACAGAGAATATGACAGGACGTAACAGGGTCACGGACTGTCAGAACGCAGCATGATCTTTTAGTGATTCTTTAGAACGGGATTCCTTGTGCTGGGAAAACGAACCTACGTAGGCTGTGCCCCTCCTCCCTGCCCACGCCCAGCTGGCCCAGGGTGCGGTCAACCCCAACTCCACCTGCCCTGGGCAGGTGAGGCTCTGACGTGCTCTCTCCCCAGCTCTGTCCTTCAACAGGGACAAGCTTGAGTCCGTGGCGATTCTTTAGAACGGGATTCCTTGTGCTGGGAAAACGAACCTACGTAGGCTGTGCCCATCCTCCCTGCCCACGCCCAGCTGGCCCAGGGTGCGGTCAACCCCAACTCCACCTGCCCTGGGCAGGCGAGGCTCTGACGTGCTCTCTCCCCAGCTCTGTCCTTCAACAGGGACAAGCTTGAGTCCGTGGAGGGAGGGGCAGAGCGGGAGGAGGGCAGCGTTTGCCACCAACTGTGGCTCTGTCCCTCCAGGACACCCCCGAATGCCGCCGTCGCAGCGAGAGTCAGGCTGAGTTTTCATTTTAAATCCCCAATTTTTTTTAAATTTAATTTTATTTTGTTACTATACAATATGGTTGACTATTGTGGCCCAATTACCAAAACCTCCCTCCCTCCCTCCTCCCTCCCAACAACGTCCTTTCTGTTCACTTGTCGTATCAACTTCAAGGAATTGTAATTGTTGTGTCTTCTTCCCCCACCTTATTTGTTTGTGTGTTTATTTATTTCTAGCTCCCACCAATAAGTGAGAACATGTGGTATTTCTTTTTCACTGCCTGACTCGTTTCACTTAATATAATTCTCTC